CCGATTTGGTCGTATTTCTACCTGCTTTCACTCTCAATCATTATTTGTTTGAGTTTAATTCCTATTTTTACAAGATATACTGTGCACTTGTAATTAATTCCTTTTTTGAAAAAGTGTTTTTTAATTGTAATTATTTTTAACCGACTTCAAAAAAGGAGGAGTTATCAATTCGTCGCGATATTTTTTTTTTTTATGTATGTTCAGCGATTATTCTTTAACACGGTGTCCGATTTTAATAATTCTTTTTTTTGTTAGAAAGGAGCTACTTCAGAGGTGTCCCATATAAATTTGGACAAAATCTAATAATTGGGTCCATGAGAAAATCCTCAAACTCTTCATTTTTGATGTATGTTTAGCGATAATGATTTACCACCTTGTCCGATTTATATGATTCTTTTTTTGTTAGTAAGGGGGTACCTCAGGGGTGATCCCATATAAATTTGGTTAAGATGTGGTGATGGCATCTGCACGTTTTTGAAGTCGGTTTTTTTAAATTTTTAATTTACACTTGTTAAAATACATGCTCTGGGCTGTATCATGATAGTACGCTCTGAAATTGTTAGACTCTTGTCCACATATTTTAAGAGGCCCCGACACCAATTTTATTAATAATTGAAAAAGTTTTTGGACGGCTACTTCTTTATTTTCAAACTTAGAAGGATGCGGTTTTCACCGACTTATTCTAGATCTAATTCTTAAGAGAGGACTAGTGGCAGATTTTTATATATATATTTTTTAATTTTGCAAACAGGATGTTAATTTTTTTAATAAAAACAAAATTTAAAAAATTAAAACTAGTCCTCTCTTCTTATAAAAACTACAAATACAAAATTAAACCTTCAACTGTCCAAAAATTATTTACTTCCGTAATATGGCGCCCCGCTAACTTCGTTGCGGAATATATTCGTACTATCTTTAGACAGCGAGAATACCTGAGATACAGGAAAAAACAGTTTTTATATTAAAAGGATAAACTGAAGTTTTTAAATATAAGCGGATGTATTTTTTCCGTTTAATTAATGAAAAAATTATTAGTCATGTGTTGTTACACCTGGTACTTTCCCTCAAAGTGCGTGGATCAATGGAGTTAATTTATTTATTTTTTATTTTCCTACCTCTAAAGCTAATACCTTTTATCAAACACCAATATAATCACCGGGTATATTTCTAGATAGAAGCATTAAAGGAAATAGGATAGTTAATATCACCCATTTTTTTAAGCAGTTACAAGATGTATCATATCATTTCAGTGGAGTATACGGTTGCACTTTAAAAAATTTGAAAATTGTTAAAGAATTGAAAATGGGATTTTGTTCAATTTTAACCTTAAGATGTACTATGTGTAAATACGTTGGGACAGTATCGACATCCGATATTAACTGTGACATGGACATAAATATTCGAGCTGTGGATGGAATAACGAGTATTGGAAATGGACTTCGTAATTTGCAAGAATTATGTCTTAATTTAGATATTCCCTGCATGAGTCAAAGTACTTTTTCTGATAAGCAAGATGAACTTTTTGAAGATATAGAGCAATAAGCGTTTAAAAATATGAAAGAAGCAGCTAATGAAGAAGCTGACATTGCGAAAGAACAAGGAACTATTGGTCTTGATGGTGTTCCAGAAATTACAGTTATTTGCGATGGAACCTGGAATAAACGTTCTTATAAATTAAATTATATAATGCATTGTCAGGTGCTGCCGTTAGTATAGGTAAAAATGCAGGAAAAGTTTTACATCTGGGGGTTCGTAATAAATACTGTATGACTTGTTCTCGATATCGCAACAGCGATAAGGAGATTCCGGAACACATATGTTTTAAAAATTGGAACGGACCCTCAACTGTAATGGAAGCTGCAATTATCGTTGAAGGTTTCAAAAATAGTGAAAGTCTCAGGTACACAAAATTTATTGCTGATGGGGATAGTAACTGCTACAAACAAATTTTAGATGCTAAACCATACAACAAAACAGTTCAAAAAATCGAATGCCGAAATCATCTAATGAGGAACTTTTGTAATAAAATTGCAGACTTATGCAAATGTGCATGTGGACCGAAGAATCTGAGAAATAAAATAAAATCAAAAATATTAAAATTACGAACAGCGATAATGAAAGCAGTACAATATAGAAAAAATGAAGAATATATAGACCATAATAAAAAATCTTCTAATCTAAAATGTGACATTTTAAATGTAGTGCACCATGTATTTGGACAGCATAATGGCTGCGCAAAATTGAAGTATTTTTGTACTAAATAAACTCCAGATGAAGAAAATATAATTCCGGACTTAAAGTGCAGTCCATTATTTGATAAATTAATGAATATTGTCAGATTGCTGGCAACCCATAGCAGTAGTCTTGTGTACGATACAGACAGTAATGTTGCTGAACAATTGAACAGCATTATTTGTAAATTTATAGGAGGTAAAAGAATGAATTATTCTTTGAGAAGACAATACAAAGATAGATATGTTGCTGCTCTTCTTAGGTATAATACCAAAAAATCTACTTTTTATAATATATATAAGTATAAAAATAAAGCAATCCCTTCATCGAAAAGACAGAGAGCATTTGAGAAAATTAAAAGAAATAAGATAAAAAAATTAAAAAAGCCCAAAGTGTGAAAAACCAGATATGTCTTCAGCAGATTTTGAAAAAGCTAAAGCATATTTTCTATCTTCGCTTCGAAAAACAAAAGAGGAAATCAAATCCATTGAAGCAAGAACCAAAGAGCAGGCTAACAATTTTGAATGGGCCGAAATGCGAAAACACCTTTTAACAGCTTCACATTTTGGAGAGGTTTGTAAGCGAAAATCAACGACTCGTGCAAATTTGTTTCATAAGCTCCTTACACAACCATTTATCAGGAACAATGCAGTAGAATGGGGTAAAGTCAATGAGTCTACTGTAAAAAATATTTTGATAAAACAGCATAAAATGAATATAGAGTCAAGTGGATTATTTATTAGCGGTGAATACCCCTGGTTGGTTGCAACACCTGATGGTCCTCTGGGAGAAAAAGGACTAATCGAAATTAAGCGCCCTTACTTTGCCAGAGGCTCTACAATAATAGATGGAATTAGGCAGAAAAAATTTCAATATTAAAAATAAATAAAATTAATGAAGTGTGGTGGCATGACACATTGTCACACCCAGAAATATTATATTATAATTTAAGTTTAAAAGCTCAATTGTAAAAACACATCGAATATTTGTTGTTTTATTTGGTTGTTCAGTTTTGGAAATTAAGAATAAATTATCCTCGACGACGACTCAGGTATATAAAGGATAATAGACCTTTTTCGATTGTATGTACAATAATAATTGTTAAATTTTATTTCTCGGACAGTCAGGCTTTATCATTCGAGTTACTCACTAACTTGCCGCTCGGTGTAATATATGTATTAATTCGTACTTGTATATTATTACAACTCCTTACCAACCACTACATGAAGTATCAATAAATACAGGACACAACTGGTATTATCAGATTCAAGGTCAATTAAATGTTGCAAAAAAGAATATTGTATTCTTTGTATCTGGACTAAAAATGACATTAAGCTGGAAACAATTACTAGAGAAAACGATTTTTGGGTAAACACTATGTTGCCTCACCTTAAAAAATTTTATTTTCACTGCCTTCTCCCGAAATTGTGGATTCAAGATTAGCCAGAGGTATGTCAATTAGGAAACCCGAATATATCCTTAAAGCAATAGATAACAAAGAAAAGAAGACTTACAGCCGTATGCATAGTCGATCACCAGCAACTCGCCAGAGATTCATTTCGGCGTATCGCCAGCGATTTGCTGGCGATGGCGAAAGCCCAAAAAGCTGGCGACTCCCCGGAGATTGTCATTTCACGCAAGTTTTCATGTTCTTTTATAGGGAAAAATTTGATATTCGTTCATTATTTTTTGAGTTTTAAGAAATGAATCATGAATAAAATGCGAGATATACCGGTGATAATCTCTATAAAAGAAAATAAAAACTTGCGTGAAATGACATTCCGGTGACAATCTCCGGCGAGTCGCCACCTTTTTGGGCTTTCGCCGGCGGATCGCCTGCGAATCGCTGGCGATACGCCGAAATGAATCTCTGGCGAGTCGCTGGCGATCGACTATGCATACGGCTGTTAGAGTTTGAGTTGAACAAATTAAGAATTATTTAATACAATAAAAATATTTTATGAAAATTGTTTGAGTTTTACTTGTCAAAAAAATACCAGTATTGCCTTTTAATTTAAAATATAATACAGTACACTTATCTAAATTAGTCACGTAACCGTCCCAGCCTAAGAAGGTAATGTAAATAATATAAGTCTTATGTTCAATTCGAAACATACAATTTTATATTTTTTATACACAAAAATATTTGTTTGCAAAATTTTTTTTATCTGAAATCAAAAAAAAATGATAATTACCTACTAGTCAACTCAAACAAAACAAAGTTTAAGAACGAAACATAAAAATTTTAAAGAATTACTTAATTTTTATATAATAAATCAGTTATTTTATTTAAATTCTCACACTAATAATGCAGTTATTTATTCTGTACTCGGAAATAAATGAAATTTTTCAAATTAATATAGATGATCCTGCTAATCTACAACAATTAATTTGTATAAAATAACAGTGCAGCCAAGGAATATTATGTGAGCGTATCACAAACAACTTTCCTAGTGTATCCTTTCTCACAGGCGATTTCTTCGAGGAAGGGAGACGGATGCTAGACAAGAGGTAACCAGCAAAACCGGCATTTGAATTGTACACGTGGTGTCGGGGCGTCTTAAAATTCTTTACCGTCTCTATAATATTAAAAATATCCCAAACTTATTCTTTCATTATCAAATGTAAAATATAATAAATTTTGTCGGAATTTGAATCCTGATCTAGGAATTAATAGATAATACAATAACAAAAGTAAGTTCGCTGGTGAATATGAATGTTTTTAAAATTAATAAAGTTTTGAATATTGGCCAATAAAAATAATTCCTGTAAAATAAAATTTTATTAAAATATGGGTTAAATCAGATAATGGACAAACATATTAAACATCATTCAAATAAAACAAAACATAAACTTACAAGCTATTTTTTAATGTATGTACATAGGTAAAAAAAATAAAATTATGGACTATCAACTACTGTTAGACCTAAGCGTGTGAGTTTTCATGTATTCCGGAGCAATTTCTTGAAGCCATGCGGCCTCTACTGTAGTCAATCCTCTCAAATAGCACTTGTTCGTTTGTACAACTTCGGTAAATAGCACTAAATGGGGTTGCTGTCGGTGAAGACATGAGCTAGGGTGGAACTGTACAGACTGCTTTTTGTCCAACTAAAATAAAAAAGAGGATACTTATTTTTTTTTTTATAAATTTTAATAAATGTAATAAAAGTGCCATAGAACTGTATCTAAAAACAATATTCCGATAATTAAAAATCACGAAATCTAGATCGATATCTAAGATTTAATTTGCTTTTCGAGACAAGAAAATTCTAACACCATCAGGTTTCAACAAAAGTCCAAATATGTACTGTGAGCATTGTAACTTCTAACTCTAGTAGGAAGGCTAGTACTCTAATACTCCTGCACTTTTACAGGCCGGCGTTGTCACTGTTTCCCAGAGCCACTTTAGGAACAGCACTGTTAATTAGAACCCAAGAGTGAATATTCGGAGAGGGGATTATCAGAATTATTATTAAATAAAAAAATATAGCCAAAGGTGCGATTCAAACCATGGTTACTTAAATTCGCAAGTCCAGACTTTAACCACTGATCCACCCATCCCCCACAGGTATATTAGTTCATTCATTAAGTGACGTAGAGACATAATAAATTGGGCTATGTTATTCCGATACAATATTTTATTATTTTATTAATTTTCAACTAATTTAGACGTGTTTAAATTTTCTGCGATAATTCTCAAAAATTTTGTTTGTTTAGTGTATTAATATTAATAGTGTTTCATATCAAAAGTAGTGCAATCGTTGCAGTAACCTTTCGCACCTAACTGGTGGTAAATTTAAAATTGTTTTTAGTGGAAAGGTTGCATTTTGGTAATTCTCGAAAATAGTTCTGAACGTTAAAAAAACAGTGAAACCTTATCGGCAGATAATAAAATACAGTAAATAAAAATCCAACAAAAAAAGTAGCCTGCTACTAGGTAGGTACCTCAAGTTTAAAACAAGAGATCCCAGTACACATACTTTGATTACGGTGCAAGAGAGAGGTCCGACAAGCCCAACATAGGGCGCGGCCATTTTGATTCCTATGCCACAGTTTATAGCTAAAGAATCAGATCGCTCACTCTGCGTCGGCACTTTTGATCTCAATGTTCCAGTTTATACCGGAGAATAACGATCAAGGAGAAGCGACAGTAGCTGTCGGTGCCTTTGATATCGGATGTACCTTTTTCACAGCATGACTTTGATTGATACACAACTTAGCACGCTGAGAAAACATGCTTATTTTCTACACTGAGCGAAATAGTTTGGCAAATTATCTGAAATCATTGTTATAGGGACCGTGCGTCATGACTTTAACGCTAACTGGTGACAAAAATGTGAACTTTTTGGGGGGTATTTATTAATGTTTTATACGGCATTTATTGTTTAATAATTATTAATAAAATGAAGTCGAATTATTTTCGTAATATCAATATCGAAAAAACTTGTTGCATCCGTGGATGTACAAACACATCACTTTAGAAACCTGGATTTCATTCGATAGTAAAGAAATTTTATAAATTTCCAGAGCAAAATTATGCCTCGCACCCAATGATATACATAATTACAAATATTGCTTATCCATATGTAAATCAGACAACGAAAAGCGTATTTCACTGGGCAAAGTTTTCTTTTTATCTAGCTTGTATCAATTTTGAGCACTTAGTTGTAAAGAAATCATTTACAGAACCGGTTTAGAAATTAGAATCTTTAGTGTTTTCTTGTCATTAAGATTTTTACATATTTAAATGAACATTTTATATAAATATAATTTTACAGATAATGGTTTATTCTGTTGATTAAAACTAATGTAGAATGTTATGAAATAAGAATGACCAATTTGACAAAAATATCACGGCCCTCTTTACAATTTATTAACTATTTCTCATTTATTATTAAAATAAACAAATCATAAATAATACATTGCAATTACTGTCAAAAGAGATTGTAACAAACTTTAAAATATTAAAAATCCAGTGATTTTTTGTAATTTTTTAGTGACATTACCATTAAACATTATTCAGAATAATAGATAAGTGTCCAATTACAACTCTTACCAAAGTTGTTTATACCTCATATAAAAATTGTTTACATTACCTTTTCAAAATTGTATTACATATTGCAATTATGTATTTTATGTAGAATTGTTTCTGAAATAGTAGTCTAAAATTATTTATATTCATCTGTTATAAAAATTGTTTAGATCTCTTAATATTATTTAACTACATGAAAACTCAACTTTCCAAATACATAATGACATGTCTTGAAGTAAAACTTTAATTATTTTCTTTTTCTAAAGATTAAAATGCTGAAATTTTATTTTAAAACACATTTGGGCTAGAACGGCTCTATTTAGTGAGCACTAGGAAAGGCACATTGCAACCCGCTTTTCATAATTTTTTTATAGTTGGGTGAGCAATCTATAATGTATGTATCATTGAACATCTCATAAACGCCAGTGGATGAATGACATTTCGATTAACATAAAGCTAAAAACATTTATAATTATTATTATCAATCTTTTTTATTAATTTACATTTTTTAAATGTTATTGTAATACTTTTAAATTCAGTGTTACTAAATACCGATATTTTAACATTGGATAAACTTGTTTAAGGTACAACAGATTTTAATAATGTTTCACATTTTACGTCATTTTGACCATGTACACGATTGTTTGGTACGGGCCGGTATCTATTTTTAACTATATTTAATATTTAAAAAAATACCCTTCATTATTTACTTGCAATGTTTACCCCATTTAATTCTAAAATTAAACACTAGAGAGGGCTAAGTTCGGCAGTAGTGCTGCCTCTATATTTCACGCACGGTCCCTATAGTCCATGCGCAAATGTTGTAATGTGATTTAATTACATTGAAGTAGTTAGGGTGAATAGCAATGGTGAAATTTCGGCACCAAAATATAATTCATTATGTAATAATTAATTATTTATTATAAAAGTAAAAGACGTTTATTATTTTATAATTTATCTATAATATTTGTTTAATATTTGGTTTATTTATTGTTAAAAATGTAATAAAAGTCCCATATTTTAATTAAATCACCTTTTCCTTAAGTAAAAATAAGGTAAATAAAATTAAGGGTGCCAAAAAAAATTTAGGTAACAATTAAAAAGACATTAAGTTCGAGATATTTAACCCTTAACTTGGCAAAAGTTTAATTTTGAATCTAAAAATCTGAAAATTTGCATGTGTTCTGTTTGGTGGTCATACAAATATTCTATGATAACAAAAAAATTATATGAGATTTGTATGTCAAAAATTTTGATTGTATACCAGAGTATACATCGCCAAATAGCCCGATAAATGGGTATGTATAGCATATTACACATTGCCAAGTTACGAAGTAAAATCAAACTATCAAAAATTACTCAAAAATATTTATTTCTTAATATGAACATCCATAAAACAATTTCTGTTCTGGACTAAACATAGCCTTATATTGCATTTGCTACAAAATATGGCGGTTTGTCCCTTCTTGCAATTTCTACACCTGCCCATTGCACCATAAATTGGAAAATGATCTAGATGATCCAATCTAATGTCATCTTGGGGTCTAGGCTTTACCGGGTTTTTAATTTTTTTTGAAGTTAGTGGTAGCTGTTCATTACTGGGACGTCCTCTTTTTACTCTGTCAGCCTGCAGTAGACTTTTGGCAAGTTTAATTCGAAATTGTTTGAGTGGAATTACTGTTTTTGGATTTTCTTGTAGAATGTTTGAATCTCGTTTGTATAATAGCCAAGCATTATTTATAGATATATCTATAATTTGAGAAAAAATGCTCATATACCATCTATGCGTTTTGAAGCGTATTCTATATATAGCAATCAACATGTCTGCCAAATCCACACCACCCATATGACTGTTATAGTGTTTTATTAACTGTGGGCATGGAATGTGAATTTTTCTATTTTCCTCTTTGGAGAATCTTTGGATAGTTGTCATTGGATTGGAGGCCACATACGAACTACATAGGGTTACGGACTTGTTATCGTACCACTTTACAACAACAATGTGACTGTCATTGTCTACTCTTTGGTCAAAACTACCTCTTCCATCTTTTTTCAATTTCTTATCCGATTCAAGTGGGCAATCCCGTAGTCTGTCTTTTCTAACAGTTCCCAAAGATAGAATTCCAAATTCACTTCGAAGATATGTTATAAGTTCTAAACTTGTAAAATAATTATCAAAATATACCATCGATAATGGTTTATTTTGGATTGTCGAACATAGTGCTAAAACACATTTTGCACCAAATCCCATGTTATTTTCAACTTCTGTAAAACAATGGTTTCTAAACGTATCATTTCCTCCATAGGGAAAGAAATCATACACTATCCCAGATACGCCACAGCGAACAAACATTTTGAAACCCCATTTTTTTGGTTTATTCTTCATATACTGCCTCCTCGAGCCGGCCTTTTCCCCCTTGTATGGAATCATCATTTCATCCACTGAACATCTAGACTCTGACTCAATTGTAAGACAGTTTCTTCGTACACGATCTAGAATAGGCCTTACTTTAAAATATCTGTCATCATTCAACTCCTCGTTATTGACGAAATGAAGGCTGCGTCGTATTGCTTGATACCTTTTTAGTGGCATTATATTTGCAATAAGTTCATATCGTGTTTCTTGAGCCGGCATGTCAACAATCCCCATTAAAATTTCGATAGCCAAGAAATCGTGCATTTCATCTATGCTTGTGTCTACACATTTGTGAAATGTTTGTGTCGAATACAGGTTAGTTTGATCTACGATTAATTCAACGATATCTGGACTAAAAAAGGTTTTAAAATATTGCAAAGGTGTTTTTATATTTTGGGGTCTTGTAAAATCATTCGTTTGTGCCGTTGTTACTTCATATTCAAAATCATCAGTTGTCCACTTAAATGGAGGCTTATCTTTTTTTCCTTTTCTTTTTATTGAAGAGTTTGGGTTTTTTTGAACTAATGCCGAAAACGGTGGCACAACCGAGGGAGTAGCTGCTGCTAGTCTTTGTTTACTGACTGAAATAGGTAATAATTCTACAGCGTCTTCTCTATTTTCTTCAGGAGTGTAATTTTCCTCATCATCATTATCTGGATC